GATCTTCTCCCAAGTTGGTCACTCTTCTTCTTCCTCCCTTTCTCAACACTCACAGCAGCTAGTAAATGATTGTCCCTGGAAGACTCTTCACCTCCCATCATCCTTTGACTCTCCTTCAAGGCAGTCGTCACCTCATCTAGTCGCAGTGTAGTCCTTCCTGCTATCATTGACTGCACAAACGGCTTAAAGGATTTTGGTAGTGAAGCCAGTAGAAGCAGCCCTTGTTCTTCATCCTTGATAGTCTCCCCTGCATTTAACAACCTTGATACTTGCTCATTAAACTTGTTGATGTGATCAATTATGCTACCTCCCTCTTCCATCTTCAGTGAGTACAAGTCCATCCTCATCATCAACTGGTTAGTAAGTGTCTTCGACGCAAACTTGCTCTCCAACGTTTCCCACAGTTTCTTTGGTGATGTCTCTCTCAGTACTGTCACTTTAATTTGTGGAGACAGTGCCAACCGAATTGTGCTGACAGCCTTCTTCTGGATTGTACTCCACTCTGATTCTTTCATATCACCTGACTTCTCATCTTGCAATGCTAAATCAAGACCTTGCTGGACCAAATAGTCTTGAATCGTGCATTGCCACAACACGAAGTCCGCTCTTCCATCAAATAACGAAACTTCAAACTTCAAGGTAGTCATAGTTCCACTCAAGCAGCAATCAACCAATACCAAACAATCCAAATTTGAGGAAACTAGCCTAAAAAATGGAATCAGGACGTCAAAATTAGTCAGAACCAACTTCTCTCCAAAATCACCAACGGGACCCACACAATGACTGGACCTGCTGACGTGGCGATGGGACCCATTGAGGATTGGACCCGCTGATGTCGTGCTGACTAGATGATGATGTGGCACTCGGACCCACAAACTGCTGACGTGGCACTCACGGACCCACCTCTGCTGACTGGACCACCACCTCCTCTGCTGAGGTGGCACTCATTCCTCTTGCTCCTTGCTCTATCTCCTTCCTCCCTAGACTGCAACTCTGTAATTAATAATTCTTTTCTGATATGGAAGATCAGTCAAAGCTGCAACCACAAAGCATACTAAGAATTATAATTACTAGATCACCCGGGCTCTGCACCTTGGCTATGATACCACTTGTTAGGCCCCCACTCCAAACAAATGGAAAGAAAAGGAAAAAAAAGCACACAATTTTTAACGTGGTTCGGCACCTCAAGACCTACTCCACGACCCCCTCTGAGATAAAATCTCACTAGTAATTTTTGCACGAAAAATTACAAACCCTCTCCAATATTTGACACTCACAACCTAAAATCTAATACACAATTATATAGATTGAAGGATTGTGTTGTGTGATGGAAGCCTATATCCCTTCTTTATTTATAGGCTCCAATCCCTCCTCAATTTTCCTATCCCACCGATGTGGGACTTTGAAGTAACACTCAACATGTTTCGTATTTTTAGTTGGGTTTTTAATTTCTATTCTAAATCTTTTAGTAATGTTTTAAATTTTTAAAATTATTTGTGTTTGAAGTAACATGTATATATAATGAAAAAAGATTAACATAAATTTATCTATCTCAAATTAAATAATTTCGTTTGCTTTTGTTTTCCATAACAAAAATAAGTTCTTTGGGAAGTTCGAGATATAAAATTAAGAATAGGAAAAAAAGAAACAAATAAAAAAGAAATATTTGCACTAAATAGCACTAAAACTTAAGTCATTTCCTTAAATATTACTTAAATTGTTTTATTTCCTAAATAGCACTTAATAATGTCCATAATGTCCTATGATGGCAAATATTTGCTTGAATAATGACTAGTGTATAATGACTAAAAGTGCTACATTGGGAAGAAAAACACATGTGGTGCTATTTGGGAAAAGTCATTATGTTTTAGTGCTATTTAAGTAAATTTCTCAAAAAAATAGGAAAACAAATGAAAAAAGAAATACTCCCTCCGTCCTAAAACTTTCTTCCCGTTGCGCAAAACGAAGAAAAATCCCAAGTTTTTTCAATCTATTTTATTTAAATATTGGTATAGAAATAAAAAATAAAACATACATATTTAAAAACTACATCAAAAGTTCAACAAAACAAGTGATGACAAGAATATTTTATTTTATCATATAGGCCATGAAAAAACACAAATAAATATAAATTCCCGTGAAGTTGGAATAGTGCTCTGTGAAGAAAGTTTTAGGACGGAGGTAGTAGTATGCAAGTACTCTTAAAAAAGAGATGGTTCCGTTTAACTTATATATTCTATTTCCTCCGTTCTAAAAAACACTTATTCTTTCATTTTTTCACTTCCAACAAAACACTTCCACTTTCTATTAAAAAACCATTTTTACCCTTACTTTTTCATACCCTACCTATAAATCACATCATACTTTTTCTCTAATAATCTGTCCATCATATCTTACTTTTACACATCACAACAGGGACAAAATTGGAAGTCAACTATAATTTAACCCTTCCTTATTTTGGCTCCAAGTCAAAGTAGAAACTTTTTTTGCAAACGGATGGAGTATTTTTTTTATTCTTATTAAAATTAGATCAGATCTAATCAGATCCGATCTGGTGAGATAAGATCCAATGAGATTAGACCAGATCAGATTAGATCCAATCAAGAAGTATTACTATTATTAGTCAGATTTGCTACGGATAGTACTAAAAGTCATTACTTTTCCCATTATGGTACTGATTATCATTTATTCCTTGAATAATACCTTTTTCAACTTGACTTTCCCTTTTTAGCCTCCCATTCCCCATGCCTAAATCAAATGAGGCTCGTCTCTCTCAAACTCCAGATTTCTATCCATTTTCTTGCACAACTCAATTCTTGCCTTTCACCGTCTTCTTCAATCGAACAGGATCATCCACAGTTTTTCTTCGTGATTCAAATTCGGCAACTCGATATATAGATCTGGAGAAGAACGAAAGGCAATGATGGATAAACAAATCGACATTGAAAATTGACACAATGTCTCTGTGATGAATCCAAGGACATTAACATACGTATTATACTAGGACATTATTCAACTAGATAGAGGTCATTGTGACATCGGTGATGGGCGACGGCAAGGTGGACATTTTAACATCGATGGTAGGCATTGTGACATCAGTGGTAGATGGTCGCAAGATAGACATTGTAACATCGATGGTGGACATTGTGAAATCAACGGTGGTCGGCGAAAAAGTGGACATTTTGACATCGGCGGTGGGCGGCAGCTATGATAACATTGAAGGTGGACATTGTGACATCGGCGGTGGGCGACGGCAAACTGGACATTGTAGCATCGGCTATGAACATTGTAACATCGACAGTGAGCAGCGATAATCTTTAGCGCGACTCTCTCTCTCTCTCTCTCGCTATAGACCTGGATAAGCCGCTAGATTTTCGAAATTCAATGTCTACTGGATTTTCGAAATTCAATGTCCACTTGTTTTTCCAAAAGTGTTCAGTGCCCGCTGGAATCTCAGAATTCAGTCGCGGAAGAGTGCTAAATGCCCAGATCAATTATTGAAATTCAATCACATAAGATTTGGGGTTATATTAGTCAATTGGTGTTGCTGACGTAATTAAAAAAAGGTTTATGGTAGTACTAGTCCTATATTGGGAAACTTGCATTGTTTTAGTACCATTTTTGTATTTTTCCCCTATTATTATTATTAATATTATTATTAGGAATTATTATTATTATCATCATTATCATTATCGTTATTAATCCATAGTTTTTAAATTCCATACTTTTTACTTGTTTCACTTGATACGATTCTTTCAAAAAATAAATTTAATTTCTCTTGAAAAAATAGTAGAAGAAAGAAAATGAAATTTTTGTGCGAATATAATTTAATTTTCTTAGAAATGAAAAAGAATAAACTTTAGAAACAAGTTAAATAGAAAACTGAGAAAGTAATCCTTAATTATTCTGCTTTTAATATACATTTTTATTAATACCTGTAATTTAAGTTTCTAAAGTTATTGCATTATAAAATATGAATGAAAAATATTATTGCACTATATAATTACATTATAATATGAATCATTATTCTAATATATGAATTAACTAATTTTATTTCATTAAAAAATGATCATAAAATAAAAAATATTGATTATATTATAATATGAATTATCATTAAAATTTTCAAAGGTTATTATAAAGTCAGATCAAATTATTGATTTGAATTTTAAATCAAATCATAATTAATCAGATCGGATCGGATCAGATCAGATTCAATCAGATCAGATCAGATCAAATCAGATCTGATCCAATCAGATCAGACCAGATCTGATCAGATCCAATCAGATCTGATTAGATCAGATCACAATTACAAAAAATTAGATCAGATCAGAAAAAATAAGTTGAACGCAACGGAGCCTAAGTGCGTTAGCAAGGTTCTATTTTTAGACGTCTATAAAATATCCTTATAATTGGGATACTGACAAAAAAAGATTTTTGATTTTTTTAAAAAATAAATTAAAAAATATCAATAGGGAAAACAAAGAGAGAAGAAAAGGAAAAATTTAAAAATAAATGAAAAATTGGAAATAAGTTTGGATGTCCCACTTGGTTTGGAAAACACAAATAGTCACCAATGTCTCTTCTTTACCGAAAAATGTCTAAAAGTTGATTAGAGTGGGTAAAAACTTCGATACAGAGATTTATAAATAAATTTTGAGAAAAATGGAGGCATTAGTGTTTATTTCGTAAACCACAAGGATTGCTAGAGCTAATAGAATAATGTACTTATTTTCTTATATATCCAATTTTCATTTAGAAAAAAAATGACGCACGGAAAATTATACACTACATCAAAATGTACTTATTTTCTAGAAAATCAAATAATGAGATTTATTGAATTTGTAAATACACATACACTAATTTTATAATGTGCATGTAAAGAGCTCGCAAATCGTCGGTCAGGTCAAGTTCATGTTCGGTTACTTCATTACTTCCTGTTTGGATTGAGAAATGTATGTCCATGACCTAGTGTCATCAGATTTGGATTGACCCAACACGTTATGACTTTGATTTTTAAAATTTTTAAATTCATATTAAGACCTACATTTCCTATTAAATAAAATTAAAATATCAAAAAATATGTAATAAATCTAGTGAAATTTACACTAAATAGTACTAAAACATATGTCTTTTCCCAACGTAGTACATAAATTTTTTTATTCCCTTAATAATACTTTGATAATGTCTAGTGGGGAAACAATGTCCAGTGATGGTGGACATTTACTTGAACAATAACCAGTAGACATTGAACTATGATACTATATTAGGAAATAAAAACACATGGTATTACATTGAGAAAGTCACTATGTTTTATTACTATTTAGATAAATTCTCTTTGAATCAATATTTTAAATTCTGAAGTTATTTTTGAGGCTTATAAATCAAATAAAGAATTAAAAAAATGCATAATTTTTAGAAAAAAGTAAGAAGAAATTACCCAACGTAGCAGTCTATGTCATTCAATACTATGCATATAGCACTCATTAGTCTTTTATAGGAATTTAGTTTATAGTGTCAATATCTTCCAAGCATACTCTCTACCATTTATTATATTCTACTATTTTTAATTACTTTTAATTATTTGATTAAACTTAGGTTATTCACGTAGCCACTCCTCCTCAAACGTGTGGCTCTTCCTAATTCGTGCATCTCATATGTACGAGAACATCATCCTATGCCATTAATCATAGCTCTACGAGATCCTCTTCCTATGCAGTTTACCAATGTATAATGTCGAAACAAGTTCGTACGTATTAAATTAAGTTCCATATTTAACGCCCATGTTTGGCCAGTGTATTTTGGTGTAATAGATTATTCGTGAAATCAGTCATATATACATTTTTGGGCAGTATGAAATTCATACATGAAAATAGTCATATACATTTTTGGCAGTGTGGAATTCATACATGAAAACATTGTAGAAATCATACCTAAAAGGAGCTATATATTTTTTAGCCAGTGTGGAATTCATATACATGAAAATAGTCATACACTTTTTGAAAGTGTAGAATTTATACATGAAAACCTCGCCACATAAATCAATGGACATTTCACTCCAACATAAAATTAAGGAACACAATAATACACTTATACACTACCGTAAGATATAACAACAAATATCCATTCTACACTTCCACATTAACTACTCGCATATAAAAACCCACACTGCCCACTACATAGTTTCAACTTACAAGTGAACAACCACACCATCCAAAGCAATCATATTTTTGGCAGTGTGTAATGAATATTTGTCATTTAATTAAAATACAAAATCGGAATCACATGTATGAAACATATAGTACTTCTATTTAGAGTATTTTAAGGCTCTAAGAGTGCTATAAATTTATACACTACAAACTACTAAGAAAAAAAATATAATTATAACCTTATTTTTATAACATTATATTTAATAGTAAGGTATATGATTTTGAAAAACTCTTACATTAGCGGATCGGTCAGATTGGATTCATGTTTCGTCGGGTTTGAGCCATTTTTAGCGGGTCATTTCAGATTCGGTCAACAACACTTTTGTTCAAAACTCAGTGTTTTTGGGTCGGATTTTGGGTCTTCGTCTAAAAAAGAATTACACCTTTCACTATTTATAAAAGAAAATATTTTCGATTGATTAATTGATAAAATAAAATATTTTTGTCAACTCTTGTTTTATATAACTTTTGACGTAGTTTTTAAATATGTAGGTTTTTTAATTTCTATATCAATCTTTAAATTAATGAATTTAAAAAAACATTAAATTTTACTTTTTTTGGCATAAAATGTAAAATAATTTGGGAGGGGTGTATTTTTAGTAAGTTGTTCTACTCTGTTACACTTGCATCACTAGTGAGACTCATATCTCTGTATGCTTCTTCCGTCTTAAAACTTCTCGTTTGCTTAGAAATGTTAAACAATTAATGCTCCTTACTTTTCTCTTTTTGCTACGTAGTATGCATCAATTATAGAGTAACGTCATGTTCTCTTGACTTATTTTTATTATTTTTGAATTATTATTTTTAATTGTAATCAATTTAGTTCAGATCAGATCACACAAGATCATATCAGACCAGATAAGATGAGAGCTAGTTTTAAATATAACCACACTCATATCAGATCAGATCGTATCAGAACTTATTCCAATTAGATTAGAACCATTCAGATTAGGTGATGAGAACAGGACTTAAGAGTCTAAGAGCATGCTCTTTTTAACTTATTCTTATTGCTTATTACTAACTCTTATTAGAATCGGATTAATCTACACTAAATCAAATCAGAAATATCTTTAAATATAAATACAATCAGATTAGACCAATTCAGAGCTTATTCTAATCAGATCAGGTGAATAGAACATGTCCTAAGACTCTTCACCACCGTGTGTTATTTGGACTTTTATGGAATTTAAGAAAATGATATTTTTGTGTTAATTTTCTCAAATTACGTGATTGGTAGATTATTAATGAGTTTTTAATAGAACGATGAAAGAGATTTTTGGAAAAAGAAAAAAAGCAGAGAGACTTTTAGGGATAGATGGAGTAGTGTATACATTGCATCTAAACGTACATACTTTTAGAAATTTAAAGAACAACTCAACCAAAATTTCAACATTGTGGTTGTAGGACAAGAAAAAATGATTTATTTTAACATGTCACCCAATGTGTACGTTGGTGAGATTTGCGCTTGCTCGAGCCTTTTACATGATTATTAATTTTTTAAATAGGGTGCTTGTGAGGTTTTAATTAAGTCAGGACCTCTATGATTGCAAAGCTCTGATTTCAAAGAACTTTTAAATATTACAAGAACATGATCAAAAAATAAAACATTTAAAATATGATAATTAAATTGACTACTTGCCCTGAGATCATCTCATACTGTTTATGATAGCATGTAGCTTCCCCAACCTTCCTCAGAGTAGCCTTAAAAACATAAGACTCTCATTTGTAAAGAAAAGTTATTAGAAGGGGGGTGGGGCTCGAACCACATGAATCTCATGCCAAATTTCCAACTGCTCCACTCAAGGCAGTAATAGGGATAGACCCTTTGCGCACACAATAAAGAGGCATGCTAAGAGAATTTTCTTGTCAAAGACGATGAGATGACAGTAGGCTTAGCGAGAATGCGATTAATCAACACTTGATACAAAAAGAGGTCACACATGGTATGATAAGACTAATCTAATTTTATTCAAAGCCTCTTGCAACATCTATAAAGTGTTGTATTAGATAGGAAAAATGTTACCATATTGATATGGCAACACTTCTTATAGTGTTGTTTTTGGTCTTGTTGCATTAGATGTAATGCAACACTTATAGTTAAATTATGTAAGACTCTAAGTGTTGCAAAACATAACATTAGGCAACACTTTTAGAAACATTTACGCTCGATTTTAAAGCAACAAATTTAAATTATTAAGCAACACCTTAAAATTATTGCAACATGTATTACGTACTTTGTAATGCAACACTTCTTTGAAGTATAAGGTAACACTTTTGACACCCTAAAGTAACACATTGCTATAAATTCATGCTTTTTTCTAATAATAATAGCATTAGTATTATTATTAGTAGTAATAATGTGTGTTCAATATACAAAATAAACAATACACTACATTAATTGAAATACAATTATAATAAATCTAAGACTAGAAACTTTCATGTTGCATACCACATTACTGACCTTTAACAAACAAAACACAAAATATGTTTAATCTCTTAGTCTTGGCTTCCATTTTTCATCAGCTTCAAGTCATTGCACTTCAACTTCAATCTCATCTCATCCGTTTTAGCCTTCTCATACTTCAATTCAAATCTCAAATCATCACTCCTTAGCTCGGGTTTTTATTGATATTTCCCTACAGGTGTTAAACATGTTAAGATATCAAAGAAAGGAGCATGTGAAAGATAGTTTGATATGCAATTAAACATGAAATGTGCAAGGTGAAACTCAAAAATAAAAAATAAAAAAGGAGAGATAAATAACTA